TGTGTGTCTGTGTCTCTGTGTGTGTGTCTGTGCATGGCGTACATGTGGAATTCAGAGGAGAATTTGCAGGAGTCTGCTCTCTGTTTCTACCATGTCCCAAGGATGGAACTCAGGTCTTTAGCTGGTGGCACACCTTTACCAGCTGAGCCATCTCACTGGCCCAATGGTCAGGAGTTCAAGGTTATAGACACCTACATATTGAGTTCAAGGCCAGCCTGGGCTACATGAGATGACAGAAAACAAACAAACAAATAAATAAATAAATAAATTGAGGTTCAGGGAAACAATATTATAATCATGATTTTAACTAACTCCACCAACAGTAGCCACCATGTCCAGGTGTAGTGAAATGTATAAACCAAGTGGTTGCTGGTTATTTCTTACTTCGTGGATGAGCTCCCTCTGTCTGCCTAAGGCCTGTGCTCTAGTAAGTCCAGTTTCGGTTTAAGTACACAGAGTCACGGACTTATCTCCAAAATCCCCCAAGCATGTTTCTAATAAAACTTGATGTGACCAGGTTCAAAGACTGACCGAATTGTTCCAGAAGCAGTAGGTGGGGTTGGGTTAAAAAAATGACTTCATCGAGACTTTTGATATGAACAGAGGTGTGCGAGTTGAGTCTGTAGTTTCACCTCTGGGAAACTGTAAAATAACATCAAGAAGAATACATTTAAAAGCCATAAATTCCTGTTTTATTTTTTGAGACAGCATCTCACTAATGGATAAGGTTAGCCTTGAACTCAAGACCCTGTTACCTCAGCCTCCCACATGCCGAGATTAGAGGTGCCATCCACCATGCCTGACTAATAAGGCCCAAAGTTATTTTCTTTTTTGAAGTAAGGACCTCATGCTTATAGACAAACCCTCCATCCTGAGTTGCACCTTCATGTAGCTCAAAAGACACAGAAGGAGATGGAGTGCACAGGTATTTGTATAATCATGTATCCACATGAAATTACAAAACAGGAAAAATAATCTATGGAGAAAAAGCTAACGGAGCTCACTAGAATTTTGCTGTATTTCAGTGCACATGGGAGACCTGGGTATGCACATTCATCAGCACCCTTATTATATCACATGCTCAAAATTGGCATGCTTGAGTTAGGATGGCA